TTCCATTATTTATCGTGTTACCATTTGGCTCATCTCTTTTTGATCAGTCATACATAAAAATGGCCACAGCAGGAAATTTCAGGTGCTGCCACCTTCATCACTTTTGCAATACTGCTGTTACACTGATCTAAAATATATCTAATATGTATGAGTGCTGAGTATCTGTGCCAGTGAAATAAAAGGTCTTTCAATGTACTACTTTTTATGCAGGTGATTATATAACACCCCTTGACACACACAAAACCACTTTTTGGCTGAGAACTTTATGCTGAGATTTAGCCTGAAGATCTTTAGAAGTGAGCTAGAAACTGAGCATTTCCACTACATACAGAAAGAAAAGGATGCAGCAGTTTGAGGGTTACACAGAGGAAAATGCCTTCTCTTCTTCATGAAAGCAAAAATTATTTTGCAGTGGTGTCCAGAATTTGCTTCCTATGATGCTTGGTGAATTGAAAACAAAACAGAACAAAGAGAAAGAGTGAGATACAGATGTTATAAAGCTGTCTACAAGCAAAACCTATTTCCTTTCCCCTCCCCCCTAGATAATTGCTCTAATTTTTCCTCAAGCTGAGTTCAGATTATGTTTCTGCCTAACAGATGAGAAGATTCATGACATTGACTGTATAACAGACATTTAATCATATATTTCCTAGAAGAGATGAGAAAAAAATCCAGAAACAAAACTCAAATTGCTTAGAAAAGAAGTAACTGGCATAAGAGACTGATGTTCAAATTTTTTGTTTATGTCAACGAATACCATGATCTGAAAAACCTCTGCAGGAACCTCACACATTCATAGAATGGAAATTATGACAAAGAAGCAAATTTGCTGTGACATACCACTTTGTCAGCCAGAGAAACCTGTGACATTAAAGGGGAGAACCTAAGTGTTTGCAGCATTATATCCTTCCCTGATTCAAGTGGCTAAATCTGGAGCTGCATACAGCTGGAAGAGGCACAGGCAATCAGAGCAGGGTGCAGCCCCCATCTCCTTGAATGTGGCAGGGAGGGTGGCAGTGCTGCGTCACTCACAGGCAGGGGATGTGTGCTAAAGGCCACACTGGGGCCACTTCAGCACACAGCAGGAGGAAGGGAAACCTGGCAGTGGGTTGGTATGACCACAGGGATGTCACCACCCAGGGATTAACCTATATTGCCATAATCCTAAACCCGTCAATCCCAATTTTACAACAGTGTTTTTGGAAGACTAGTCCAAGGCTCCTGCACAAAATTTAAAAGTAAAATTATCCAAGACAGTTTTAAATGCTCTTAAAAAAGTTTTCTACAGATACTATGAGATGTGTGAATGCTGCAGACTAGGAATACAAACAAATATATATCTGCGTTGTGGCCATTTCCGTTCAATTTTCTCAGTCTGTGGAGAAAGCTATAATTTATCCCATGAAACAGTTCATCATTTTATGCAGTCAAGCCTGCTGCCCCTGGGGAGGCAGCTACAGCTGGCTTCCCTACAGAGAGCAGGGAGCAGAGCTGCCTCAGCAGGGCCAACCCAGAGAACTGCCCTGAGTGACGGGGTGCTCTGCAGAAAGCAGCCTGGCCAAAACCAGGAGAGTGTAGACCTGCCATCATCTCCTAGGAAGGAAAACAAAAACTTTCCTGATTAACAGCCTTTGGGGTTTCTGAAAAACCAAGAATTGACAGACAGGATTACAGAGGAAGGGAGAGTGGAAAGATGGAAAAATTAGTGTAAAACAAAAAATATGTTAGGGTTATATCTGAAAGATGAGAAAACCCTGTATATCAGTGTACACACAAAGAAACAGAAAGATTTGGGACAGAAAGGACTGTTACAGTCTCTAGCATTCACATTTCAGGGTGTGGTTCCTTTTGAGAAAATGGCATTTTAAAAATTGTTACCATAAACTATTAGCATAGACTATACACCCATGTTAAGCATGAAATCAGAGATTCAGGTATTAAAATTGTTATTATTATTATAAAATGTTTAATATTATCTCTCTGTACATAAAACAGTAAAGAATGCAAGTTTGGCTTGATTTATTCACAAAAGTTTTCCTGCTGTTTTGACCAGAACCACTCACAGAATGCAAGAATGGAAGCAGACTTCTTCCGTCGCCCAAGATCAGGATAAATCTCGTCATAAATTGATAAACTCCATCTAAAAATAGTTAAGATTTAGGCCTCCATTGCTGTGATAAGAGGCCGCCCCAGATCCACCCTCCCCAGTGCCTGGAAGGCGTTCAGCTTCCATAACCCACATCACCGATCAGTGCTCGCCTGCTCCTGTAAGAATAAAGTGAAAATAACTCTTTCATAAAGGAATAAGCATTAGTTTTAAAACACAGAGTGATTGGGATTTGGCCTTTGCTATAAAAGAACTTACTATTGGGAAGGATGTATGGGGATCACTCATCTGCTGTGAAGCTGGTTGCTGGGAAGCCATTGACAGCTCACATTGTTGATGAGAAACAGTGGCTCTGTGACAACATTTGGTTTGGCTGGCAAGGATTAATTTATTCAAAACACACAGAGTCTGTTTATTGTTCATTTTCAGAAACATCAGCTTCTGCTCCATATCAAAAGCCAAAAAAGACATTCTTTTTTAATTTTTCATGTAATACCGAATTTTTTGGCTTACGACATGACAAAGGCTTAAAAAAATGTTATTGTTGATAGCTACAAATAAATGTTAGTTAGCATAACTTTTTCAAGTTTATATATACCTTAATAAAAACTTGGTAACTTTAACACAGGTATAATAATTTCCTTTCCTTCTTTGTTTTTCAGAGTTCAAACTATATGTGAAAGTAAAAGCTTTTTTTTTTTATTTAAACTGGTTTCAACCCCCCCCAAATCTAAATCAACATTAAAATTTATTCAAATTAGGTAAGGAAAATCAAAGTATGTAACAGTAGTTTTTAAACTGTACTACCTATGTTTTTACGTGTTTACAAATGTTGTAGAATGTATTTTATATCATTATCTGTAATATATTGTATCAAAAAATGAAAAAGAAAACATTAATACAGTCACTTCCTTTCCTAATATTTTGTAATTTTAAATTTGTAACAGTAATTTTTCAACCAATATATTGTTTACTTCATTTGGGTTCCTGGTTTGGGATAAACTTTTATCACAAAGAAGCAAAAAGAAAGAGTGTAGTGACTTTTTAAAAATCTATCTAAGCCACAGCGTCCCTAATGCTGGAGATATGCTCATCATATCTGAGGTTTTCACAGAGCTCTGAGGAACAGAGATAACTTTAAAGTTTACTCCAACATCCCCACTTGCCAGATTTCCAGCAAGGCCGAGGTCCAGGGTTTGACTGAAGCTCATTTCTTAATATTTAGCTAATTTAAATGCTAATTAGACTAATTTGATGAATAAAACATGGTAGGAATTCATTAGCAACTTTGCTGCTATTGCTTTACGTCTACAGAGAAATTTTCTACAACAGGACTCCAGGGACAGTAGCGCATCTGTTACCAGTTGAACAAGTTGGATTCTTTGTAATACTAAACCTTAGAGTTGGTAATATATTGCAGAACTGCAGAGAAGATGGAGGAGCAATTTTAAATTTTGCAAATCTAGCACATCCTGGACATAGGCCATCACTGAAGAAGAGGCCTTATGCTGTCCTGAGCCCATCTGCTTTGTGGGGTTTGCTCTGAGATTTATATACAGAGGAACAAAATGTGCCTTATCTCTGTCTCACATTACCTACTACAGTCGTTCCAGTTGTTCTGCCTGGTGTTGTTGGTGCCTATACAAAGAAATTAAATCATTCACCTCATGTCTGATACTGTGGATAGACTTTAATGGTTTTATTGAGCTCCATGAAATTAGTGAGGCTCCACAGCTGTGGAGCAGATATGAAAATTGATAAGACAGTGTCTTTGGAAGAATAGTTGGTTGGTTGGCTTTGTTTGTTTGTCTGGTTTGGTTTGGTGTTTTTTTGTTGTTGTCTTGGTTTGCTTTTTTTGGGTGAGCTTTTTTGTCTCTTTTTTTTAATTCAGCATGTGCCATTAGTGGCACTTGGGGATGTGGTTTAGCGGTGAAATGGCAGTGCTGGGTTAACTCAATCTTAAGATGTATTTCCCACCCTTAGGAATTCTAAGATTGTATGATTACCACACTCAACAAGGTACTTAAGCAGAAGCCAAATTTTTAAGATGTGACTTTGAATCTATTTAAAAACAAAAGTTGCTTTTGGGCTTAATTAGATTGCTGAATTTTAGTTTGAAAAAAAAAGACAGAAAATAAGAAGCCCTACGGAGAACTTCCATGGCAAAAAGTAAAAAGTTTTGCTAAACAAGAACCCATTTTGGACACTCTTCTCTTCCTGTGTCCACTACCATGGCTGAATTATTATGTCCATAGGGACATCTAGAAAATCCCCCAGATATCTGGGAAATATAGGTTCAGATCTCCGCATACTGAAGATTTTCTGTGATACTCAGAGTGGAATATGTAAGTGAAGGAACTCAAAGGCCTGTAAGCACCTGTCTTCTCTGGAAGATAAATATATTTCATGTATGACTTCTGATGGCATATATGTATTTAGATAGTTAATTCTGATTTTAAAAAAACCAAAACAACAAAACAGTGGCTAATAGAAATCTAAATGTAGTTGTGGATCTGCGTGTTCCTATTTCTTTGCCTTAATTTTCTTCCTGTAAATATTACTATGAATCACAAAGGACCCAAAAAAAAAAAACATGTTACAGATAATAGGTGATGTGCTCAAGTGCAGTAGTGGTGGAGGCCATATTAACATACCATAATAAAAACAGAACAGGAAGGAATGTAAAGGAGGTCATCTGTATTGATAATACCATTTATCAGTGAAAAAGCTTCAAGTCAATTTGCCACTGTTTTAATTCAGTTCTGCACTTGTTTGTTTTAGTTTTTTTTTGTGGTTTGTTTGTTTGTTTACTTTTGTTTAAACTTTTGCTCCTGAATACTAGGAGTGAATGTAATTAGGTTTATAACTATTTCAAACAGAGTTCAGTACTTACTTCTACATGCTGACAGGTCTGAATGAGTTTCGCCAGAAGAGTTTCCAGCTCAGTATTCCTCTTAATAAGGTTGGTGAGGTTACTCTCCAAATTTTGCTGTTAAAAAGAAAGGAACACATTAGCATTTCAAAGAATTTAATGTTTAGGTAAATATTTGAAAAATCTAATTATACAGGTATGAACATGAGACACTCATTTTGGTATATTCCATTATATGTGTGATTAGATTAAATGTTTTGTCTATGTGAGACAAGAGAGAAGAAAAGTTCAAGATAAGAATGAGTGCTAGAAAACAGACTTTCCAAGGACCCACTAAAAACTAGATTAAGCAATTAGTTTTAGTCAGGAGGAAAAAAAAGACAAGTAAGGAGAAGACCAGGAAAAGTTAAACATTTCCCCAAAAGAAGTGGCTTATTTTGACTGAGAACATTTTTGACTCCTTATTTCCTGCTCTCAGTCTAACATATGAATTTAAAAGCCAGCTGCTAACTGAGGTCTCTGAGCACATGCCCCTTTGGAACTGTACTTATAAGGACCAGTAGATGGGTCAGCACTTTTTTCTTGGGATTTGCAGTACTGTAGGGGGTCGATATAATTGATTTAATCCCCTAGTTGAGCAGTTATGTTTTTTAATCAATAACTCTAAAGAAAAGCTTCCTTTCTACACAGAAGAATGAAGTATCTGCTCACAGATTGTGCCTTCACTAACTGTTCTTTAGAGGGAACTTGTGGCTTGTGTCTGGTTTTATCAACTGATTATGGCTGCCATAAATATCTTCAGCCATGGGAGAAAGAGAACTTTCCAGCTAACGGATCTGAAGCTGCATCCTGGCTCTCTGCAGTTGCACATGAGATTGAGATCTAGCAACTAATGTTTCAGCCTCCTACAGAAAGGAAACCCAGGCACGTGAGGAGCAGGTCTGTGATGGCTGTGACCCACGCCCTGGTCTGGCTGCCTTGGGACCAGGACTTTACTGTGCATCCTGGAACTTGCAGCTACTAACTATTCACTTTTTACTACACATCCTGAGATAACTGCTGTTTTACATGAAATTTCAGCTTCTGGAAGCACATGGGCATGGAAAGGTCTGTGTTTTTGCAAAAACTGCAAAGTTTCCACAGAGATGAAAAGGTCTGGTAAATATAATTTAAGTATATTTAAAAAAGCAAGCCATTAAAAAGAGTTCTGACTCTAAATATTCATTTATGTCAGTAACTTCAGGGCCGTATATTTAATTTTGACATAACTGGAGACTTCTAGCATGACAACCTATTTCTTATTCACCTATATAAGTGTGTGAGACTAGTCACTTGCTTAGTATTCCTGACAAGCTGACAGTCTCTGACTTTTAAGTGTACTTTGTCCTCCAAGCAGTCCCTGGCATCTAGGAAGTATTGAACAAGAATACCAGAAGTGGGCCCGTGTTTTCCTCCTAAGAAGGGCTGTAGTGTCTCTGCAGAGCCTTCATTCATTTCAAGCCTCTTCATCTTTTATTAATGGGTTTCTTTTCTTCATGCTACTACTTTCCCTCCAGTGTATCTATTCTATCATTTCAGTGCCTGCAGCTACCAGTAACTCATCTGACTTCTATCATCCTCCCCACAACGACCACCTCCATACATGCATTTAGTGCATTTAGTGTGTGTGTGTTTTTTCTTGTGCTGTTACTCCCTGCCAATTTCATGATCTTTTAAAACACTTTGTTCCTTGCCCTCCCTTTCTGCAGCTGTGCAGTTTCCTTACTCCTTCTTGCATATGGCTACAAACAAATGAAGATGGCAATATTTCATTGCTGAATCATATGTATTTTGGCATTTACCAGGGCTGATGCCGTAAGCACTAGAGAAGCAGTCAGTTCTGTTCCATTAAGGAAAGAACAAGATTTTAATGGCTTTGCATATATGACCCTTCCGAGAAGGGTGGTGGCTGTTTGAAACACATAATGTTGGCATTTTCTTCCCAGCACAGTTATGCATATTGTGTATCACTGGCTGTAAAAATACCTTTTACACTACATTTATTTTATAGTCCATTAAAGCAAAGAGTAACAAGAATAGGCATCCTTACTGAACTGTTTGAGTTGTATCTTAGATTTCCATAAGCTGTACTGTGAACAATCTTAATTGCAAAGGCATGTTTGCTGTGCTGTCAGATGTCCCTTTGTAGGGCTGAGACTCATGCAAAGTCAAAATACCATATATAGTTACAGTATCAGATAACTTTTGCCTTTAAAAAACAGTTCCTTAAGATGATCCAAATGTTCAAATAGTCTTGAAATTTTATTTATATAACTTCTTAATATTATATATTAATTTTGTACAGTTATGGAACATTGCAGTGATTTTAGATAACTGAAAGTTAGTGATCTTCAACTAAGGCCATTAATACCTGAAAGTTCAGTATTTTGCTCTGAAACAGAAATGTATTGACCCATAGATTATATACAGATTATTATATTAATGATATTTTCAGATCCTGGATATAATAATCTATATTCCTGAATAGATATCCTGGATAAAGAACAAAATCTTAGAATAAATTTCCTATCCACTGAATATAAACATAAACCCATATATATAATTATGGCTTCACACAGTCTCTTGATATCCTCTGCATTTTCTGACTATGAAAATGGAAGATAACTATAATAAGTGAATAGCCTTAGAAAGACTGGAGTTCCCATGCTCTAGGTCCTTGAACTTTGTAATTTTTAATCTGGAACAAATGGAATTTTGTTTCCATGCAAGGGATTGGGGTTTTTTAAGTCAAGAATGATCAGAATTTTGCTAAACTTCTGTTAAGAACAGTTTATATTAATGCTTTACAAGATAACAAGAACCTGGTGTTGCTTACTGAAATTAATTAATCTTTCCAGTTTCACTAGGCCAGTACTGAATGGCAGCTCTTGAAAGTGGCCTGACTTGAAAGTCTTTAAGGTCATTAAACATGATCAATTCTTGCAGTATGTTTATGCAGATTTTCTCTTGTCAGTATCTTCCTCCAGTACTTTCCCCTAGTTTATTCCTATACAGACCATGGTACCACTTTGGCTACCACATGACAGTAAGTACCAGAAGCAGAATTTGAGCTCTACCCTCTGTCTTTACTCTACATAGGGGAACCCAGAAAAAGCCTGAACATTTTAAATTTCAGAAGCAGAAGTTTGCTCACAGACTTTCTAAAATGCTGCAACCTCATTTCACATCTGCACCTGGAACTTCCTTGGTTGTGCAAAACCGCAATGCTAGATTTGGAGCTCTGGCCATCTTGGAAAATTGATCCAGTTGATGTAGACCAGAATTTCTGAGAGAGTGAATTGTAACCAGGTTTTAAGTCTGAAGAAAGTGTGCTTTCACATTATGATGAGTACATGTGAAAATACATGTGAATAACCTTATTCAAAACATCTTCCTTCTTCCCACCTAACCTTCTACTGCTGCTCTGTTAGGTGAAGTGAACCAAATTACAATTGTATTTCTGGAAATGTTCTAGGTAAATTGTAATTTCTTAAACATTTGCACCTGCCTCTCCTTATCTTTTTTTTTTTGTCAGTTGCTAATTTTCATTGTTATCTATCTATTAAAAACTGATCTAGAAACACTGGGGTTGTTTTTATTTAAAGAAGCACCATAGTTGCTGTGCATTTGCTCTGTGGACAGGCTTCACGCGTGTTAACTCAGTAGAGGCAAACTGCTCTCAAAAAGCAAAAGCAAGGCTGAATGCTTCCTGACTTACCAGTGCAGAACTAGCCCAGGATCTTGACATTCCATGCATGCTTTGAAACTGTTTTTACAACATCCAGTGTAAAGTGAAAAGAATGCTTACTGTCCATTTAGCATGGTCTGACAACTATACAATATAAATATTCCTATAATCTTGGGAAAAATCTGAGTAGATGAAATCACAGACATGTAATTGAAAAAGACAGTTAAGGATAGTGTTTCATTTTGACTCTGCATGCCTATAAAATGATATGATCCAGGGACTAGAGTTTAAGTTGGAAAAATTAATGCCAAAAATTAGAGGAAGGCAACTCAGGACTGATCACATTTTTAAGCGGCTGTCTAGCTCACACTCAAATAATGATCATGTTGCAGTAATGATTGCGTGAGGCTCGTGCCCTGATTGAAGTGGGAGGTCAGACTAGATGATCATAGTGGTCTCTTCTGGCCTTTAAATCTATCAGTCTATGAAAACCAAATGTGAACCCATGCCCTTTGCCAAATTAACAGTCTCACGCAAAGCATCGCTTGTCTAAAATTGGAAGGTAGCACAAACAGATAGTCCTAAGCTACTATATGGATTGGAAATACTGTCAAAATAAATTAATGTAAGATTCTAAAGAAGAAAAATGCTGAGTTGTGTGCTCCTGCCTTATATCACAGCAGATAATAACATCCCTGAGATCATCTTCGCAGAAGCATTTTTCTGCTCCATAAAACTCTCTATTCAAAAGGCCACAAAATAAAACATAGCTATCAGCTACACTGAGATTTTAAATTCCATTTGAAATAAAGCAACTGTATTTTTCTAATTAAAATATTATTGTTCCTGCCATTGGTAAATATAAGTATTCATTTGAATTTTTGGCTCACTGCTTACTGGAAAGATGTGAGAACTGGTCTACTGAAACTGCCAGCATATGCTGAGACTCACACACTGTAGGATAGTATATGTAACAACAGCCTTGATCACCACTTACATTGAATCCATCATGATCAAAGCCTTTCAGCAGCAAACACTGACTGCAGTTTGCGTTTCCTTGATCCTGGCGTAAAACTGACCGGAGTAAGGCGTATTTTGTGACTACCTCCTTGTTTAAAGAAGAAAACAACTTCGCACACTGGAAATTAAATTTAGTAATAATATAGGTTTCTTGAGAACCACAGCCACCCTTCCATCACCTCTTTACAAATGGTCAAATTTAAACAGAGCTTATGTATTTTCCAATCGAGTTGGTTAAAGTTTATAGACAAAAGGCACACAGTTACACTGTAGTAAAACAGAGATGAGAAATAAAACACTGTAAAGCAGAAATGTGATTACATCCTAACTTACTCAAGCTAGCAAGGTAACCAGAGTGGTGTTGACATGGCAGATCAGTCTTTAGTATATGCAGGCTGGCTAGAGATCATAAATATACGCTCTGTCACTAACACAGTCCATTCAACCACATCTTCACTGAGACTGTTTTTCCTCCTAGCTTGAAGGCATTATGCTTGCCTGTGCTCCAGTTACGTTTCCACCTCATCGTGGTGACATACCCCACAAACTAGTCCTGTTGCCCCCAGGACTTGTGTCTTATCTATTAAAAAAGTTGCCAATCAAATCTGGAATAACTGCCAAAATATCAATTATGGTTTTCAGCCAGGTTTTGGGTGTATGTGAGTTTAATGTTTTCTTTGGTGTTCTTTATTTAAATGGACATGTCACATGCACATGGAAAAACTTGAGCTAATTTTTATTCTATGTAATTTTCCCGAAATAGGTGACTACTCTTCTGCAGGATACATGTGACTGAAATGCATGTATTTCTCCAGCCAGGGAATGGTAACATTCGCAGTTAATAGGAATGATTGACCTCAAGTCTCAAATGTACAGAGCTTGACAACTGCACTCCATATTTCTATGTGTAAAGAAATAACAGCTATCAACAGTGTTGATACACTCCTGGGGACTAAGATATTTATCTCAAGTGATTGTAGTATATCACAAGGAAAGACCCACGAGATACTACATTGTTAAGTAACTGTCCAGGACTATTTTTATTAAAAGTGCAATGAAAATATCTGCATTTGAAGCCACTATGACTTCAAGGGCGTGAACTAAGTTGTGTCTATTTTTATATTTCATAGGAATGTCACTTAATTTTTTATTAACCTCTATTTAATACAGGACATTGTGGAAACTAAAGGAAATCCAAGCATTTCAAATTCTTGACCACATAAAATCTGAGAAGGCAATATTCTAGGAAAAACCTCCAATTGCACTCTTGTGTCTCTGGAAAGCCATGTCCTCAAATACACCAATGGTCCTTGCCACTTGCAGCCACAGCTCTGCCCTTTGATTTAACTATACTCATCAGTCTTTTAGACTTCCTTCACTGTTCTTCTCTCTTCCTTGGAGCACAAGAGAAATTTCATAACTGGGGCCTTTGAGGAAAAAGAATAGGACAAGAAATACACATATGGTACACTATAGCAAAAGTTTTCCACTGATGTGTACTGTAAGGCTTCAGAAAGAAACAATATATATTCTTAAAAACTATTCTGCCCATAATAGGGACTGTGGTTACCAAGAACACAGGCCAATGAAACTTACATTGCTTAGTTATTTTCCTTATTGTAATGGAAGGACATACAAAAATGAAATTAAAATAACATTTTCTTTTAAACAGGCATTCAAATGTTATAAGAACTTTGTTCCAGTTTAGGAAGTGACAAAACTGACTATATAGGACAAGCTTTTTTTTAGAGATTCCCATTTC